AGTCTCTTCCCGGCTTTCCATCAAGCGAAAAGAGCTGGTGATATGTCAAGTCAGCTTTGCCACCTGCAGCTATTGCTTCTCTCTGGGGCATTTCAAAGCCATCGGTGGTGGCTCTGAAGCTAATAGGCAGAAAGTGGAAGTCAAGACTTGAGGCTAAAGAGAAAGAGAGGTACAAGAACAAATTTGCCAAGGAGTTTAGGAAGGCTTTAAGCATCAAGGACACACCTGCTCCTGTCCCCCTGTACAGAAGGGCTTGTTTAAAAACAACTCCAGTTCAAACACCATGCACACACCACCGTGACGGTGCTGACTTGGGTCCCAGCTAGATAAGGGAAAGCAGTCGTTTGCTCAAGTGGGGTCTATGGAGGTAAAGCAAGCAATCCACGGTCCTCCAGCATCCCAGGATGCACTGCTTCCAGCTGCCCGCCATCCCAGCAGGGATAGTGCCCAGGTGTCCTGGCTCCTAGCCACACCTCTGCTTGCTAGCCCTGTGCAGGCAAGAAACAGTAGCGACCCTTAGCACGAGACTGCTCACAGCACACTTTAATTTACCGAACTTTCCACAGCTTTAGTGCAACATGTAACTCCACCCTAAAACCCCATGCACAGAGCTAGAAAAAGCAAAAGGAGAAGCATCTCTCCAACCAGGGATAAGCCAGGATATCTCATAGTGGCTCACACTCCCCTGCCTCCAAAAAGCTGTTACAGTCAGATCAGTCAATGCGCTCCTGCAGTCGTATCCATCCATCAGCTTGCTCTACGCCGTCGCGGTGTCTTTCTAATGCAGGCAGAATCAGAATGGTTCCAGCCCCAGAAAGTTTAAAATTCATTAGACTAGTTTTCCAGTCAGAGCAAAACACGCCATGAGAAAAAAATAAAAATAAAAAGCAACCAGCCGCCTGAGTTGTTATTCCCGAGATGTTTAGCTCAGAAACAAGTGCTTATCTGTATTAGTGCAGAGGAAGTGGTAATTACAAGCTGCACGCTGTGATGTTAGGACTGATGGAGGCTCTCAAAATGCTTCATCCTGGCAACCCTGCCAATGGAGAACCCGGTCTGATTTGTGCTCATTTCTGCCCTCATTAAAATTCCTCTCCGGCCATTAACCCCAGCTTTTCAGATGGCAGGTAGCTCTGGCCCGGCGCCCAGGGATATCAATGCAACGTCTGTACAGCAGGGGCGGACCACAGAGCACTTGCTGTTGGATGGGGCTGCAATTGCAAGTGGCCTAAATGCTGGGGGTAGCTTGGGAGTGTAGGCAGGGAGGAAGGAGCTGGAGCTTTTCGGTTCTGTTTGGAAGCAACTTTGCCTTTGTGGTCCATTGGCGCCCTCCAAATTGAAATGAATGAAGTGGGCACAGAGTACTGCCCGGTGTGGTTGCCTTTCAAAGTGTCTCATTGAATTAGGAAAAAAACAGTCAAGGTGCTCAGGTGCATGCTGACTGCATCTTTGAGGCTCTGATGGATCCCAGTTTCCTTTGCTAGCTGTGGCTTATTTGCAGCTAATACAGTCAAGGGGCTTGTTGGCTTTGCCCGGACCTCACTGCACACAAACAGGTGTTTTTAAAGGATACATTCACACAGGTAAGGGCTGGCACCCTTTGCTGACTGGTATCTGGTGGGCATCCCTTTTGAACAGCACCTACCCACCTCGTAAGGACAATCTGGCAGGTCTCAGACTACTGACTATTTAGGTAATTGGTTGTCTGGCCATCATAGCCTCTTTTAACCTAGGTGCTTGGGCATCTCGACACCCAGCCTTTGGAAGTGAATACAGCTCTTTGGCACGCCATCGCCAAACTCAAGCGTGCAAAAATTGAGAGTCCGGTGCGCAAGCATTTGTACAAATTGGTGCTAAAAATAAGGGGATTTAAAAACAAAATAGTTATATATGTGGTGTTCTTTCATTTTGCCTTCTAGCTCTGACATGCAGGTCACACTTTCTGCAAGCCCTTGCCATTTGAAACACGACCTGCGATTCCAGTGCATTTCACATGACTCCAGGAGGTGGGGCCTTAATGAACACCACTAAATAGTATGAGGCTTGTGGCAAGAGCTGAGGGTGCTATCGTTGTAACCGCTATCCTCCGTTGTGCCAAGGAAAGCCTTGGTTATCAACCTCTTGTTCTTTTCTAGCAGCTGGTGAATTCATTACTCAGCCCCACCCTGCCGGTTGGTAGCTCAGCCTCGCAGACTCTCATAGATATGCTCTCATTATTCATTTCAATCTGCAGGGAGAAAATATCCACCTGCTCAAACCATCAGGCAAACCATTCTGAGAGGGGGTGGCGGTGGTGGGGCATTTGTTCCTGGATCTCCCTAGAAACCACCTTTTATTCCCTCGTTCCCAGTGTCTCCCTGACAGCTAAGAACAAAACCAAACCTAATCACACGTGTAAGTAGGCAGCTGTGAAATGTCCCGTGCGGAGGTCTCGGTAGACTTTGTACTTGTTCTAGGTTGGAGGAAATCTCTGAAAAAGTTCAGCCCTGTGAGTCAGATGCCTGGAGCTGTGCGGAGGATGGGTGCTGTATTTTGAGATCTCAAAATAAAGCTTTGTTCCCAATTGGAACAAAAACCTTTCCATTTTCTGTGGAGGAAAATCTACCAATACCTGTCGTTTGGGGTTGTTGACTGCGATTTCAAAGTGAAACATTTCCAAATCCAAAGGTGTTTCAAAACTTAGAAAGAACATCGACAAAAGGGGCATGCTGTCATTGTGTGAGGTCTTTTCTTCGTCTCGGTTTGACAACAGGGAAATCTCGGGAAATGGATCTGCATTCCCTGCACATTTTGATTTCCAGGTAACGGTGCGTGCGCTCCATCCGATTTTCTCCAAATTAGTTCGACTAATGACATCGTTACTTGATTAGGTAGCAGCCTGGAGGAGCCCTGTGATGTCTAGTGAAGAGTCGTTTCATTTAGTCTAAGGATCAAATTATAATGGTGCAGAAGACTGGGATGGAAAGGTCGGGTTAGATCGGGGAAGCCAGGACACAGAGGGCTCAGACGAAGGGGTATGAAACGGAGAGGATTGCCAGTTCCCGCTCACACGTGAGAGTCGAAACAAGAATGTACTCACATGTACCAGGAGTGTTATGCTGCCAATACTGTGTAATGAAAGGCTCCTTTCATGAGACTGGGCTCTTGGTCTTTCGAGGCATGTTGTGCTGTGTCTGCTGATCCCAGCTTAGCTGGTGGAAGCTGCATTTACTCCAATCAGCACAAGACTTGAGGAGAGCAGAGGGGACCCCTTTTCTGCAGCCCCGTGCCCTTTAGCGTAGTGTTTTAATCACAGGATTAGCCAAAAGCCCATTCAAGCTCTAGGCCATATTGCAGAAATACTAATAAAGGAGAATCTCTGCCCCATGGAGCTTGCAAACTAAATATGCAGATGGGTGAGGTAGTGCAGCCAATTCTGCAGGAATGCAACTCCAAGGTCTGGAGAGCTGGCCACTGAGCCCAGTCACGTCATCTGTGGTGGTACCCAGGGAAGCACCCTCCTGACCCTTGTAAGACTGCAAATTCAGTTTCTGAGAAGACAAGTTTCTTTGGGTAAATGTGATCTCTTTTATTAGAGCAGCTAAATAGCTGGGAACATGGTTCTTTGCAAGCTTTCAGGCACAGACACCCTTCTTCAGGCACCACAAATTCATACCTAGGGAGCCAAGAGTAGCGGTCCCCTGGGTTTTCTGTCATCTCTACTTCTCCTCTGTCTTGATTTGCTAGTGGTAAAACAAAAGCATCAAATTGCTCCAGCAGTCAGTGCGGTAGAGATGATATCTTTTATTAGACCAACTAGATAGTTACAAAATATATATATATCTTTTTGCAACTATCTAGTTGGTCTGATAAAACAGAGGTTCCCAACCCCTGGGCCATGGCCTAGTACCAGGCTGCAAAGGGTTGGCTGCCAGACTGGAAGTCCAGAAGTGACCGGCATGCTGTGCACCGGCAGCCAACCCTTTTTTATACTCAATATGAACTACCTTCTGGTCTGCAGTATGCTTGTCCACAGTCTAAAAAGTTGGGAACCACTACAATAAAAGATACCACCTCTATCACACTGACTGCTTTTGCTTTTAGACCAACACGGCTACAACCTTTATCCCTCAAATTGTTCCGTGGTTTTAACCCCGTGAAAGCTACTGAACAGTTAGGGCCTGATTTGGATTCAGATCCTCCTGAAACATCTCCCCCTCATATCCCTTCTCGATTTATTTGGCATGAAGCCTGCAGGAGAGGGTCGTTTTCTCGAACTGTCCCCCAGTTGTTTGACATGCAGTAGTTTAGCAATTCCCACCCAGGCCTCCAGTGATGATGCCATGTAACTCATGGCTGGGCTGTGGTGCTCCTTCAGGATATGGCTTGCACCCAGAGGAAGGTGAAGGATGGCTCGGCATCTGACTGGGAGGTATGTGATAGATGCGCCGAGCACTGAAGAAAGGCGCAAGATGCAGCAGCCAGAATTAAAACCTTCCCAGGGTCCAGGGAGGCTCAGCCAGATTGTAGACAAAGAACCAGCCACAAAAGATAGGAGCTGGATCAGTGGTTTCTGGCCTAGGGTTTCAGGTCATAGACCCTTCCCCATAATGTTTGTTATTAAAAATACACACGTGCCTGAGAGAGACATCCTGCAGTTGCTTTGAGGAGATCCCGGTCTGGTCTAGACTCAAGAGTCCATCCCCATCCCAACCTTTTTGCCTCCCATAGGTGTTCCCATCCTGAGAGATGTCAATACCCAGCATGGCGGTGACACTCTCATGCAGCCTTTCTTATATGAATGACACCTGAATCAGTCGGTCCTTTCACACCCCTTCCCATCCTCCGAAGGAGGGAGATGCCCACCACCCACTCCCCAAGTGGGGAAGTGCCAGGTACTTAGCAACCAGGCAAAACCAGGTACTTAGCAACTGTGTTCAACCTAAGTAAAGACAAGACCAGCAGAAGGCAACAACCAAACGATGTAATGATTTCTGTTTCTAAATTTTATTCTGTTACAGGGATGGAGCATCATCCATCCCGGCCCACAAGACTTCTGGGAAGGCAGGAAGAACAAGGTATTCCCATTTCCATATTACCTGAGAAGCTGCCACGCAGCTGCCAAAGTTTGTATCTCTATAATATTTCTATTGAAAAGACGAACCAAAAGAAGCCAGTCCAACTGTACAGTATTGTATGTACTTTGTCAGCCACATGCTGCCTTTCTTCCTGTCACAAGCCCAGGGGCCGGTGGGGAGCGGACTCAAGAATAGGGTCCCAAGTCTTCATGACTAGCAGTCCTCTCCTCACGACCAAATTCCTTTTCCTTTGCACTCTTATCCCAGATTGCATGATGATAATCCATCCATTTGCTTGTCTTCCTAATGTAGCAGAACCCCAGGTCTCCTTTCCTATCCTTGCTGGGTTTGGGGCTTTTTTTTTGGTATTTTTGTGACTAAACAAGCATAGGACCCCAGTCAAACACCTGTGTTTCCTTCAGACCATCTCCTTTTCTTCTCAGGATGAGTGTTTGCTCTTGCCAGGGTTGTCCAGGCATGGGGAAGGGGTATTGCCCAAGGTTGAGTAATGGCAGAAATGAAGTACTGCAGAGCTCACAACTGGAAAGAGTTTGGGTGATGCAGCTCAAGTTGGTGGGAAGAGAGAGAAAGGAAGGCAAGAAGGTGTGGGTGGAGATGAGGACGCAGTGGTATGGAACGTGTGCACCCCAAGGCTGAGATGCCATCCCTCATCGTCAGGCTTGCCCTGCTCTGTTGGGAATCCTCTTTCCTTCTCACATCCTCCCGTTGACCTCCTGAACCACAGGTTAGTCATTCAGAGGCTATGAGCGGGTGTGGAGCGGATCATCATTTTACAGCTGTGGTTTCTCCAAGACAGGGCACACCTAGAGATTCAATATCCTCTTTATTTTTAATGAGCATGATTCAAAGAAGAACAATGGGTGCAGGGCTTGTGGAGGCATCAGCAAGTTGCCTACCAGCTGCTGGGTGGAGCGTGCAAAATGGAGGGAGGGAGTGAGACACCCCCAGCACCCCCAGTAGTAGGAGCTTGTCCCTTGGCCATATCGGGGAGGGGTGATGGAGATCCAGCTCCTCTCCCATGCTCCAAGATGGTCCTTGTGAGTAAGGATTGAGATGGCACCGGGAAGCCCGTGCCCCGCTTAGGGAAGACTGTGGGGCTAGCGATCCTGCATCTTCAATTCCAGGGCTTGCCCAGCCGAGGATCCCTTGGCTCTTTGTATTACTAGGCGGTGCATTACTAGCATTGCACTTTATGGTTTCCTTCTCACCCCAGCATCCTCATCTGTGTTCATTGTAAAGGATGATGTCTCTGCTCTGGCCTCAGCCTACCCTAAAAAGGCCGGATCTTTTGCTGTAGTGGGCTCTGCCCGCTGATCCTAGTCATCAGTAGGCTGTCAGCACCGAAGGCCACTGCTCCATGCTGAATACCGCTCTGTGACCTGCAGACGATGCATGGCTTGGGCTGGAGGGCCTTTTACCATCTCTGCTGTGATCCTCATGGAGCAGGCGCTGCAAATTCCTGTGCAAGTTCAAGCCGTAGCGACATCTTCCCCGCCCTCAGCATCCTAAGCAGCTCCTTTCCTTTGGGCGTTCAGAGCACCAGCGATACCAAAAGCTTCATTGCGGTCACCAAGGCAACAGGGCCCAAGGTTAATGAGCCCCTCTTCTACCTTTATGCTTCATAAGAGCCCCTTCCCATTTATTTTTATATTTATTTTTCTGTTGGCAATATTAACCCCCTAAAAATGTGCGTGCGCTGCTCTATCGAGCTTCCTTGAATGATTTCCTTACTCAGGGCTCAGGGGAGCAGGAGGCGGGGTGGCTTGCTAACACATGCGCCCATGGATCTTTACCAGCCGGCGCAGAATCGATAAGAAATAGCTCCCCAGTCAATAGCAGAGCTTGGGAGCTTGAGGAATTGATCTTCATGTCACCATGGCAGCGATGACAGACAGGTCCCGTTTGCTGCTTCAGAGCTCAGCACGTCTCCATGAGCCTCACAGCGTGAATGTGGGAGAAACCCCCTCCTGCTTAGTTGGGTTCAGGTCCTCGTGAGAGAGGACAGCGCTGTGTTGCAGCAGATCCCACCCCCGTAGCCCAAACTACACCCTGCCTTCTCCAGCCTCGGTGCACTGCCATGCAAGAAGGAGCTTGGCAGGAGATTAATTTTAAGCAGTGCAGGAAGCCCTTCCACTATGCAGGTGTAGGAGAACCACACCATTGCTGCTGGGATGCACCGCCCTGGAAGCCATCGCCGAGGGAGCTAGAATTGGCCTTGTCCAGTTTGACCCTCTGTCCTTTGCCATGGGCTTTGAGGTCTTGGGAGAGGTGTTTGCTGTCCGGTCGGCAGCTCTCCTTCCATCACATGGAAGCACAGAGCCCTAAAAAGCGCCGGTGGGAGATGATGCACAGAACTGGGATGGAGGCCAGTTTAGTGCAGTGCATTCGTGCCCGAGGTGGTGTTGGGGTTTACTGCATTCTCATGGGGTGAGAACTTGTGGCCACACCTGGACCTGTTACCTGATGTGTAGGATGGAGCAGGGTGTTTTCTGAGGTCTTTTGCTCGTTCCCTGGGCGTGCAGTTTAACCAGGAGAAACACCAAGTGGTGCAGACGTGCCATCTCAAGCTGTTCCAGAGCAGTCAGTGCCTCACACAAGCCTTCAAGAAACCATCTGAGTTGCAACCCTAAGGCTGGTGGTTGTGGAGCCCTTCAACACATGGTGTCCTGTGGTCTTTTACTGCTACGGTTGCTGGCATAAAAACAGCAGGGCAGGTTCACCATTACAGTCCAGATCTGCTGATCCAAAGCGGTTTCATACTGGCTGATTGAACCAAGCTGACAGTTGTTCTGCATCGTCAGAGCATACCAGTAAATCCAGGCTCGCATCTGCCTCTCTGAAGGGCAGACCTGTCTGTCTGCTGCCTTGGAAGCAGGGCTGGAGAGCACCCTTGTGCATCGTCTCTCTTCTTCCTCGGCACTTGTGCTTTGCCAGTAGACCTCTCCGTGGGCCACCCCCTTCCAGAAGTGCCCTCACAATTGATCTGAATGATCTCAGCAAAGTTTCCTAGTTTCAGACCCATTACTACCTCAATAAATGATGCAGTTCTCCCCATGCTCATGTGTTAGTGCCACTTCACCAAAGGGAAAACGTACTGCATCAGGCCTTGTGGCTTCGTGGCTTCCACTGCTCTGTTATGCTGTGGTCCTGCAGAACTTCATAGTGACCCTGGGAGGAGAAATCCCCTTTAAAGCTAAACATTTACCCACAAAGGCTTCTTGCCTAGTAACACGGATGATGTTAGAAATTAAGAAAATGAGGTTTTGGAAGTGAATCCTAGTTGCTGTTCTGGTCTTGGGCTTCTCCTGAACAGGATCTGCTCGTGGTGCAGAGCAGTGGGATTAGAAGCATCCACTAGAGTCTGGAGTAGATGGTGTCACTGGTTTTGTCTTGTTATTTTCTCCAGATGCATGAAGCAACTTTTCCGTGATGGGGAGGGAGGTAACATGTCTGGATCTATGAGTAGAAACAGGGAGAACTGTAGCCACTGTTTTGCATTGGTGTTAGACCTTTACTTATGGTCAGGGAGAGAAGGGGAGGGAAGGGTGAAGCCCAGGATCAGTTAAGTTGTGGGGTGAAGTTAGGGATAGATGTACAGCAGTGATACTGCATGTGTGTGTGTGTGTGTGTGATGTACACCAGTGATATTGTGTGTGTGTCTGTGGAGGAAATCTATAGATTAGGGATCTTTGCTATTTGAAACCAACCAGCAACCAAGTCAAAGATCTGCCCAAGCAAAACAGGTTGCACAGTTAAGAGACTCCGTGTTTTCTAACCAGTGCACACAAGGGAGTGATGCGCTAAGCAGCCATATCTAGTCATGTTTGATACTCCAGCCTCAATGCCCAGCTACCAGTCCATAGCAGGGTCAACACAAGCCGGCCTTCAATATGCAGGGCTGGCATTCATGCCGCTGGAGCTGTAGCAAGATGCTTTAATAGCTCTGCCACCAGACCCTGGCATAGAAACAGCCATGCAATTGTGGCAGCTCCGAGATGATGGACCAGCAAATTGCATCACTAGGAGTTTCCCGCGGGTTTTGTTTTTGTGTTGGACCAGAGGTGTTTCAGGAGACTGTGCCAACTCGGCTTCTGCCCAGAGGGTGCTCCTGCCTTGGCTTGCCAGTCTGGCAGGAGTGGTTTTGCCTGGAGAACTTAGCCTGGGGCTGAGTAGACCCATCCGAGTCAGGTCTTCACTGGCCACTAACAGCCACCTGTGGAGCAAACCTTTAGATCTGTCACATTTGAGATCTGTCCTTCTCTCTCTTCTGCATTTGAGGTCTGTGGCTGATAACCAGCAAGTCACTGGTGAATCCTGTTGAAAAGGTACCACATCTCATCATGTTCTGCAGGTTCTGCTCTCTCCAGATCCCCCTCAGTGGGCGTGTCTACACATGCGTTTATGCCGGCTTAAATTTACTGCACAGTAAGTTACTGCTCAGTAAACAGGAATAGGCTGGCATCTACATGTGCAGGCACTAAAGCACATTACTGCTGTGTGTGGACTGACTTGCAGCTCAAGTTAGTCCCAAGTCAGTCCACACACACAGTGTTACTCTGCAGTAAGGCATCTACACATGCTTTACTGCACAGTAACTAATTGGGTGTAAATTTGATACCTGCATGATGCAGGTATCAAATTTATGTTCAAGTCAGTGTAAGTCACTATATTTACTGCACAGCGTGGGTGTGCATTTATAGATGTGTGCCTGTACTGCACAGTAATTTTGGTTGCTGTGCAGCGAGTGCACAGGTGTAGATGCGCCCAGCGTATGCAACGTCTCAGAGTTGAGGGCAGGTTGTTTTGGGCCAGGATCCACAGCTTTAAGGTCACAGGTGACCAGAAATGATGCTGTAGAATCACCTTCTGCATAACACAAGCAGCCCTAGAGTTTCACCCACCATTTGCTTCATTGTGCCAATAAGTTCTGGTGGACGGAGAGATTGGCTTTCGCAGTGACATGTGATCTTGATGTAGGGACTTCACCAGGTGAAGCATTTAACCTAGCCCTTGGTAATGGTGACTTTCAGAGAAAGGACTTTTCACAGTCTCTTTCTGGACAACTCACTGCCAAACCACTTTTGGCAAGAGTTGGCCTTTCTCGTAGGTTTTTAGATTGGGGTTTTGGTTCACTTGGTGTCATTCGGTAACTAGTCTAGCTCATAAAACATGCCCAAAAGACTGTCCGCGAAGGAGGCCAGTTCTGTGCTATAGAGCCACAGCTTGATATTATGAGCAGCAAAAAAGTTCTAGGTTTCTGACAATTAAGAAAGAGAGAGAAAAAAAAACCAAGCAGGGATATTGAGAATTTCATGCTAGCCCATAAAAGAAACCAGGAAAATTTAAGGCAGGCAAGGTCCAGATCCTCAGCATAGAAGAAGATGGATCTAAGCCATTGGACAACTTCACACTATGTGACACTAATACCCCAGTCAGAGAATCTTGTGCCTTCAGCTATGTAACAGGTGCAGTTCATAATGTTAGATAAGCTTGCAAAATGAACACCAAGTTTTTATGTAGCACCTTGCATCTTCAAGGATCCTAAAGCTCCTTGGGAAGTACAGTGATAGATAGATGTACCGATGTATACAAAAAGAATGACTTCACCCACCACCGCGTTGCAGCCAGGGAGGTGACAGCTACTTAACAATACATAGCAAAGCACACAACTGCTTAAGACAGGAAGTAAAGCATCCATTTGTAAAGTGTCTGCAAGATCTAGTTGTACTAGGATGAATACAAGTCCAATATGATGGTGTTGTTCCAGAAGGTAATTTCTTAGCGTTTGCATTTCCTGTGTTTCTTTGGAGAGATGGCTTTTTTATTATTCTTTTATTTTAGCACTTGTCATGGAGCCAATACCATTGATCTAAGAAGCCTTATTGTATCACAAACAGCCCCGATTTCAGTGGAACAAATCTCTGTACCCTTCCACTTTCCATTAAGGTCACATAACCAGATTCCAATCCAGCAGAGAGATGATGCATTAGGGTAATTGTTAATAAGTACTGTTTTCTCTGCTTTTACAGAGTACCTTATTACAACCTGGACAAAGCTGCATTCCTTTAGCCAGTTTCTGATGGCGAGGGGTGGAAAGCTCCATTGCCTGAGTCCTTCGAAACTAGAATGAACTAGAAGGCAGTGTTGGGAACAGTCCTGTGCAGAGAAGTAGACCCATTAGATGATTAAAACTAGGTCTCTTCCATTTTTATGGTGTAAAGTAGCGGATGCAATTAGTTACGTAAATATGCTGCATTTGCATGGTAAAACTGCGTGCACCATATTTCAAAAGCAGATGAGGGCTAATAGTAATAACTAATAGCAACCTGGGGAACATTTTGAGGGTTCAGAGCATCTCAACTAAATCACAGCCATGCACCTCTGTGAGTTAAGTAAGACGATCCCAGACAGCACAGGATTTGGGAAACTGAGGCAAGGGTTAAGTAACAAGCCCAGGGTTACAAAATAAATCTGTGTCAGACTGAGTATTGGACTATGCGAGGATCTTGTGTCCCAGAACTGAATGCCAGCTGCCAGACAGTGATTTTCTCAAGGGAAGAGGGATCTTTCAGCGAAGTACACGGCATCATGCAGGATCTTGGCATGTCAACGGGGGAAGGTCCGAGACGGAAAAAACCCAGCTTCCCAGGGGCCTGGGAGGGAGTGTGCAACTAGGATGTGCCCTTCTGTCAGCAAAGCAGGGGGGCATATTCCAGACAGGCCGTTGGTTTCTGCATCTCTGGTAGGTGCTGCTACGTGGCTGGCAATGCTGTTGGATCAGAGGCAGGAAATATACTCCACCTTCCCCAGGACTCCCTTGGGGAAAAAGCCTTGCCGGTCTGTGGAAGGCTTGGGGGCTGCCTTGGCTCTAATTTTGGGATGACCCACATAACAGGGAAGGCACAGCCACAGACAAGGACTTCTGAAATGCTTTTAATTAGAGGGCTGGCCTCCCTTCCTTTGATACGCAGCAGTCAGTGCTGGAGGCTGTCCCTTTCTGCTACTGTACATGTGACTTTTAGGCTGGACTGTGTATTTTTACAGTCCTTAAGTAGATCTTCTATTCTCTGGCGGTTTCTTTTCCTTTCTAGTTAGCACACCACCATGATGGGGGCGAGGGTTTTGCATTTAAATACAAGTTATGACTCACTGTGACATCTGATGGATTTTAAAGCTCGCCACTGTAGAGTAGACTTGTGGCTCAATGGAAATGGAGCTCAAGGCGGGGTGTGGACGTACAGCGGGGGGTCACTGCTTGGGTGGAGTTCCTGTCTGGCCTGATAACATGCATCCAAGGTGAGAGGAGCCCTGGGCAACACGGAAAAGGCTTGAGAGCACAGGGAAATTCCCATCGAGTGAGTAGAGAGAGAGAAATCATTGACCTACATGAAAGGAAAAAGGCTGTCTAGGGTTTGGGCACTTGGCTGAGATTCAGAAGATTTGGATTCATGTGCTAGCCATGTGCCAGTGACTTGCTGTGCAATGCTGGACATGACCCTTCAGCTCTTCCTGACTCAGTTGCCCATCTGTATAATGGGTACAACCCTCCCTTTCTCCTAGCCATTGCTTCTCTCATGTGTTTAAACGGGAAACTCTTTGGGGCAAAGCCTCTCTTATTAGGGGCTCATATAGCAATGGCACAACAGAGCCATGATCTCAGCTGAGTCCAGTGTCTATTTTAAGCGTGATAGCAGCAGCCTTACAGCAGCTGCTCCTGTCAGTGGAAATAAAGCAGAGAAGAGCCCCTCTATCACCTTGTTGGTAGTGCATTTCCAAACGTCTCCAAAGAAAGTTGGACAGTGTGTACACCTGCATCAGACTAACCTCTTCTTTTGATTTTATTTATTTTTACTCTTTGTCCTGCTGTCCAGGAGCCTCCTCGATATGTCCCCCTCTCTCGGCACCCATTCTTTTCTCTCAACCACATCAGTTGCATCTGATTCCTCCCTTGGCTCTTTATACATAGTTCCTTAACATTTTAAGAGGTTTATTTCCAAGGAGGGGGCTTCCCTACAGCTGCCCAGCCTCTGTTGGAGGAGAAATCCAGGATAGAGCTGAAGAAATATCTTTAAGCTTCTGCTTTACACAGAGATGCATGCATAGCCCAGTTGTTTTAATGTGTTCCTCGGTGGGGGGTCAAGCAGACGGGGTCCCCTCTAGCCTCTCAGGGAGAAGGTTAAAAGTCAAAGGGAACTTGATTGCCTTCCTAGCAGCGTCGTTCATGTTACCCGAGGCCACAAGGGCCAAACTGCCTCTAGATTTTGAGGATTACTAAGCCTTGCAGCTCCCCGGAGACTTCCCAAAACCCAGTGATAAAACCACAGCTCCATTAGCTGGGAACCACAGCTTGACGTTTTCTCCTCTTCTTTGCATCTGTGTCTCCAGCTGTGCAAGAGGAGAGGCAGAGGGGGAAAGATCGAAATGAGAACGAGGTGGAGTCGACAAGCAGCGCCAACGAGGACATGCCCGTGGAGAAGATCTTGGAAGCCGAACTGGCAGTGGAGCCAAAGACAGAGACGTACATCGAAGCAAACATGGGCTTGACCCCCAGCTCGGTAAGGAATACCTTCCCCCATTGTAGCCCAATCTGTGTGGGGCCTACATAGCGAATAAGACCCTGAGCACTGCCACCCTGCCCTGCATAATTTCAACGTGGTGTCTCATGTAGATTAGAGGAAAGGACAGAGTGTTGTTGGAGCAGTAGGTCTACAACTCGGAGGTATAACTTCTAGTCCCATGCCTGGCACAAGCTTCCTTAGATGACCTTGTCTGAAAAGTTAAGGTGCCCTATGATGTACTTTCCCCATCTATAACATGGCAACCATATGCTTCTGTGACTTAAGGAGGGACCCGAGATAAGCCTGCACAAGCATAGGTAGATTTAGAAGAGTGCATAAAGCATAATTTCTTTTACAGTAATGCAGTCAGCCCTACAACACATCACAATCTAAAACAATCCTTGACTTGAAGAGGTTGCCTTCCGAGTGATCCCCAAAACCCCCCTTTCTGGCTAAATGCAAAACTATCCCAGCTGGAAAATCTGGGTATGAGTTTTCTAATTGCAAAGTTGCTTAGATGCATGGTGAAGGGGGAGGGTGTATTGCTCTAGAGGAAAAGGCAATCAGGACTCGTGGTAGAGGTGATCTCTTTTATGAGACCAAGAAGATTTTTGTAAAAAAAAAAAAATCCTTAATTGCAAGCTTTTGGGCACAAACACCCTTCATCAACATTGGAGAAAACTTGGGTGAAGGTTTGGATTTTAAGCCCACTCGTTTTTCTGGAGTGGTTAGATCTTTGTTTGTAGCACCACCAAACCTGCTACATGATAAAGGTTTGACTCTTTATGAAACCCTGTCACAACAGCAAATATTTAGTGTGTACCCCAAACATGACCTAGCACTCTGCTCAAAACCCCCTAATTTTAGAAATAACACTTTTTCCCCCCTTCTTTATAGGGCATCTAAGGCTTTTGCTCTCATTACTGTCTCAGCCCCTGCTCCTCTGGGCATGATTGCTCTCTAAAGGAAGCAGCTGGCTATTTCTTGCAAATTTATAAGGAAAGAACCAGGCTTCTGACTCCACTCCTAGCCCTGCTGTGGGTTATATCCAGGGGAGCATTGGGATGCTGGAGGACTGGGAGGCTCTAATTATAGAAAACCCAGGGGGAGGAGAAGGAGTTTGAGGCATTTTACTTATTGATCTATGCTGCTTGAGTTGCTATCAGTTGGGAATTTTTAGTTTGATTTTTCTTATGAATGTTTCCCCTAACATGGGCAAGCCAGCCAGGTGGAATGGCTTGGTAAACCTCCCCGCCCCCCAAATAAGTACCTAGCCTGAATGGTTTCTTTTGGGAGTAAGGAGGTGGGCCTTAAAGCATATAAATCCCAAATGCCAGGCAGCTGGCCAGACTATTCAGAGTCTTGTTGGTGCTGGGATGGGGGAGAAGTGGTGGGACTCTTCATGGTCAGGCTTGTAGGACCGGTTGTAGCTGATAAAGAGGGTTAATGTTCAATTTGGACAAGAAATAAAAGGTCTCTGAAACAATAGACTGCAAGTGTGAGATGGTCAACTGCATGCATTCAGAATCCATGTATTGTAGCAGGTTTGGTGGTGGGGAAAGCCCATGTTATCTAGCTTTGCAGCTCATCATGCATTCATAAAGGTTTAGTCTAACTTGTGGGTACCTTACTTAAGAGACCATATAAGAAACTGCAGGATAAAATAGAGGGGAGGAGAAGAGCTAGGGCTGCAGGTAGAATGAAGGCAGAGGCCTTGGGAGCGGTGAGAAGTATTGAGGATAAAGGAAGAATTGTTTTCTACCAGTACATCTCTATTAGACCCTTTTGCACTAGTCTAACCTTAAAAGAGCATGTTTCTCCATCTCACAATGGAGAGCACAGACTGACCCTTACCTGGGAAACTGGTGTATTCCCTCCTACTTCTGTTTGCTTTATTTTAATTTATTCAGCCCCTTTGGAGAAGAGAGCCCCATGTTTAATCTGTCTGAAAACAAGGTGCATGATTTCAAGCTAGGGTAGAAAGTCCACTAGACTTGCAGAGCTTCACTCTTGCTAAGTTTTGCTGGTTCTTCAGTATTTAGGGCAGGTGAATACCTATCACACAAGTGAATAATACCTATTACACATGACAACGAGCTGCTTGCCCACAGAGTTACAGTGAGTAACTTCAGTGCTGAGGCATGTTACACCAATGCCTGAAAGATAAAGAGTCTCCTATTCAATGTGCAACATGTTAAGGTCTGCCGAGACTGCCATGAACTAATTCCTAATATCAAAAGGTGTTGTAGGGCTGAGCCCATACCGAATAACAGTGCTTTTTGCAGAAATTCTTGGTCTTTATTTAAAAATGAGTCCTGTCTGCTGTCACTAATTAGATTTTCTCTCCCACTTGTTCATAGTTTCCTTCTGCAATGGGAAGCTGTTGATAAAGTAGTTTTTCCACCTAGAATTGATGGCACAGTTTCTCTAAGCTCCTTTGCTTTGCCTCAGTCTTTTTCTGCAAGGGGTGATGCTGGGCAAATGATCTCCCGATATCTTTGCCCACAGCGTGTCTTTGCTTCTAATTGCAAGAAGCATGCAGATTATATACTCCAAGCCAGAGTTGCTTAAACTTGCTCCAAACAATGCTAATTTGTCTGGAGCTCACAGGCAGATAGAGTCACTCAGGTCTTAAGTTTCAGAGGTGCCCTTGTTAGCTTATTATGCTTGGCAATTCTATACAAGGAGCCAGGTGTCTTTTAATTTGTCTGTGAAGCTGAAAACACACCTGAAATTCATTGACATCTGGGTTCAGACAGATCTGTGTTTCAGGGCTTGGGATAATGCAGTATTAGTCTGCAGCCTGTTTTCCAATGGATGCCTCCCCTTCCCTTCCCCATTCTAGTTGGCATTTCTCAGAACTGAGCAGTGAATTGAAGATATTTTGGATGGAGCATAGCAAAGGTTTCACAGTGTACAGCAATGTTAGCAAAAAAACCCCCAAAATGTAAAGGACATTGGAATGGGAGGACTGAGGATGCAATGACTCTCTCCCCCTTAAAGAGAAATCCCCAGGTGCATTGCAATGTGTGCATGCTGCAAAGAAGGGTCCATCTAATATTGCACTCAGTGGTTCCCAGGCAGGCATTCGATGCCATGTTAAGCAAACAGCAGAGATTTCTGATCGCCCTCAAGCAGCAGTTGGCTTTCCCAGAGGGAGGAACGGGAGAGCAGTGCTTTGGTTAGTGTTGGGGCCTCGGCTTGGACAAGCCCATGACGGCGATCAGGATTAAAAAACTCTTTAGGGGAGTTGTAGCGCGAGTTGTGCCGACGTGAAAACAAACCCCAGAGAGGGAGCTAAAATAAATGGCTTCATCTGGCATCGTGTCTCTCCCAGCTTCTCGTAGCAAATTGAAAGCCGGTTGCTGCATAATTCAACACGCATTACTGCGAACAAGGATGTGTAGTGCATCTCAATAGAGGTGGGAGGCTTGTTGAAATGCCCTATTATTGTTGAGCGGCTTCTGTCAATGAGGTGACATTTGTAGCAGGTTGAACAGATGTACAAGATCAGTGGCTCAGCAGTGATGAGGTCACGAGGATGGAGAGAGAAGTCTGTCTGCCCTTCTTTCAGGCCTCCCTGGAGAGCCGCTGTGATGGAAAGGCAGACGAATTCAGCGCCTAATAGAGACAGAGTCAAATCCAAGCTCTTTCCCACTAGCCTGCTATGTTGGGCCCTTGCATGAACGCCCCTGGACCGTAGAGCATCTGCTCTCAGCGCTGCCACTCGCAGTTCTCTGGCACCTGGGTATCAAACACGATGGCAGGGACTTCCTTCGAGGTTGTGCCAGATTTGGGTTGAGGATGCCAGGGCCCTTCCCATCACAGTCCCCGGGACTTGATCTGCCCGCCTTCCAACCACTCGGGCTGTGACAATCTCTTCCCAGGCCTGTGAGACTAAGCTCCAGTGACTCCCCCATCCTCTGTGAGAGCAGGAAATCTAGGAGGTGGCATATAAGCCTGGCTTTCTAAGCAGATAAAGCATTGGGTCCATGCAATGACATGCCCATCCCAAAAGGATCCCCCTGTGGAGAAGGATGCTATTGCTCAGGCTGGTTATGAGCATGCTGGAGTGAGACCCAGGGAAGAGCAGAGCTCTGCATAGGAAAACGAGGCTGGATGATGTCTTACCCAGTGACGTGTGCCAATGCTTGGAGCATTTTGGCAGCTCCAGTCCTGCTGGGCAAGCAAGAGGTTGTCTGTGTGGATGGAGGGGTGTATATTGACTGAAGAAATGTAGCTATCTGAATCCATCTACCTTATGATCCGCTTGCCTTTTTTGAAGGCAACCAAGTGGAAGCGATCTAACATCGTTGCAGTCATGTACAGACCTGTCTCTAGCCTGCGCAGACCTGCGTGTCGTGCCGCAGCTCTGAGAGTCAGAGTTTTAAATGCTCTCCATTAAAACGCCCACCGGCAGCACAATTGCACCTCTGCGCCGTGGCAGCTGGGGAGTTGCTCGTCGTGACACCATACGTCAAATAAGTTCACGTAGCTCCAGCCTCTACTTCAGACGGTCCTGGTTTCACGTAGCCCATATCGGAAAACCCTCCACGGTGCTGAGCAGCCCTGGCACATGCCTGTTGTGGGGACTCTCCTCTCCTTGCAATGCGTCTGTGGAGGAGAAAGGTAGTTGCCCATCTCTAGGTAGCTGACTGTCCCCTGCAGCCCTGAGATTAGATGCTGGCTTCATTTATTGACCCCAACAATTTAAAAATCAGCCAATCGTCCTGGATTATCTGGGACTGAATTTGAAGAGCGGGACGTCTGTCCCAGATTTGAGCAGCTGTGTCCAAAGTTGGCTCCAGGCAGTGCCCTGATGAAGGCCAGCATGCAAAAACCCCACGGAGACATTGGCTGCAAAACTGCTGATGGTCAAGTTCAGGCCTATTCTCAGCTGCCCATGGCGGATTTGGGGCGGTGTCCCAGATTTTGTTGGATGAAAGCTGGTCGCTTTACCTTGAACTGCATAGCAAGTGCTGAATTTTGCCTCCCCC